TTGTATTTCCAACACTTCACAAAGAGGTAGTAACAATGAGGTATTGGCGTGGGGTTCCTCAAGAACAAGTCTCATTTACCTGACTTGACTTTCCTAGGTAGGTGGAGGTACTGGGGGAGAAGACATTTTTGGACATGAAGATTGGAAACATATACTCATTTTGAAAAGGTATTTGATGAAAATCTCAAAATATCTGCATGACAAGATTGAATTTTAGGAGAGTCAGCTTCTGAATAAGCACATTTATGGTATAATTCATTAACTGGGCAGGGCGTGGTGGTTCATGCCTATAATCCCAGCACTTTGGGAGGCCAAGGCGGGCGGATTGCCTGAAGTCACAGAACTTCAGGCTAGGAGTTCAAGACCAGCCTGGCCAACATGTTGAAACCGCATCTCTACCAAAAATACAAAATTAGCCAGGCATGGTGGCATGCGCGTGTAATCCCTGCTACTTGGGAGGCTGAGGCAGAAGAATCACTTGTGCCCTGGAGGTGGAGATTGTAGTGAGCCGAGATTGTGCCACTGCACTCCAGCCTGGGCAACAAAAGCAAGACTCTGTCTAAAAAAAAAAAAATATATATATATAGAACTGGATCATTCTGTGCTTCAGTTTCCTTACTTATAAAAGGAGTGTCATCATAGCACCTCATTGGGTTGTCACGCAAATTACAGCACCTGGCATTTCATCAGCACTATACACATCTCTGTTCAACAGACTGGAAAAGCAGCCTTTAGTGGCATGCTTGGGTAGCACTTGGTTCCACCCTCTTGAAAATTTCCATCAGCAACTTGTTAAATTTTCATAAGATGTGCATGATATAAATGTTGGATAACGAAACGAAAATCCAAAATGACCCTGACAGGCCAGGGCCATGATGTGAAATATATGAGATAAAATTAAATCCTAGATAAAGATTTTAAGGAAAATAAACGTTTTTTTTTGAGACAGACTCCTGCTCTGTTGCCCAGGCTGGAGTACAGTGGTGCAATCCTAGCTCACTACAACCTCCGCCTCCCAGGTTCAAGCAATTCTCGTGCCTCAGTCTCCCGAGTAGGTGGGATTACAGGTGTGTGCCACCATGACCTGCTTTTTTTTTGTATTTTTAGTAGAGACAAGGTTTTGCCATGTTGCCCAGGCTGGTCTTGAACTCCTAGCCTGAAGTGATCTGCCTGCCTCAGCCTCCCAGAGTGCCAGAATACTGACGTGAGCCACTAAGCCTGGCCAAGATTATTATTATTATTTTTTAAACAAACAGCCTGGTTTGCCAGAAGTTTCTATGGATAAGAAGGAGAATTTTGACTGGGCATTGTGGCTTATGCCTGTAAACCCAGCACTTGGGGAGGCCAAGGCAGGAGGATCACTTGAGCCCAGGAGTTCAAGACTGAACAACACAGCAAGACCCCATCTCTACAAAAAATAAAACAATTAGCTGGGATGGTGGGGGGTGCCTATAGTCCTAGCTGCTCAGGAAGCTGAGTTGAAAAGACTGCTTAAGCCCAGGAGTTTGAGGCTGCAGTGAGTTATAACACTACTGTACCCAGCCTGGGCAACAGAAAGACTAAAAAAAATTTTTTATGAAATTTTAGCTGACTCTAAGCTTAGTGTGCATAAAACAGTGTGTCTAGTACATAATGCAATGTCCAGCTGCATTAGGAGAATGAAAACGTCCTAATAAAGATGCTGTGTGGACATATGTACTCTAAGACAGCGGCCCAGTTTGCCCATCATTAACTCTTCTTCTCTCCCTTCTCCTCCTTCTATTTATCCTAAGTGGTAGCTCAGCTGCTACTATTATGGAGATAGAGATAGCTTCAGAACCCATAAGCAATAAGAAAATGTAAAGCAGGAACAGACTATATTTCCAACTTGTTTGGGCGGCAGAAAACATTCTCAGATGGGGATTGGAGGACAGCCTTAAGACTTGTGAAGAACTGTAATTAGAAGTTTATCAGGGCACCCAATGGCTCACTGCTACAATGCTAAAATGAATTCCCTTGTAATCATGATTACTAAAGGATTTATCTAATCTATTTCCTATAAGAAATCAAGGTACTCCCAGATACTTTATCAACTTTTTTCTCATAATAATCCCTGCCTCTGACAAAAGAAGATATTGTCATCCCTACAGTATAGATAAGAAATTGAGGCAAAGAAGTACAGTGAATTGCCCCGGGCCACAAAGAACTGGAATTATAATTCAGCATCTAATCTTGGAGCCCGACATGAGGTATGGGAAGGAGCATACTGGAGTCACGTTAAGGCCTTCAGAAAAAGGCCTATTTACTTTCATCTCTGGGAGAAAGATTAGCAGTATTTTCCTTGCACATGCCAAAGATGTTGAGTAGATGTTTTAGATTCCACATGCCTGTTCTAATCCTTTTCCAAATACTCGGAAAGCCTTAGTTTGACCATTAGAAAGATGCCAGAAATTAAATTTTTCTTTAAAATTAAGGCAAATATTTGCTAGAACTCCAGAAAAAGTAACTAATCCAGAAAACTGTATAGTACAGCCACGTTGTTTCAGGTCATCTTGGGCGAGAAACTTCCAAGTAGGCATAAATCCAGAGAGCCAGCTCCCTCATCACCCCCCTCGCATAACCCATTCCCAGCCCAACCTCATGGTCTAGGGCCTAGATAAAGATCAAGTGAATTCATGTTTTTAACTTTAAAAGTTCCATGCAAGCTGGGCATGGTGGCTCACGTCTGTAATCCCAGCACTTTGGGAGGCTGAGGTGGGTGGATCACCTGAGGTTGGGAGTTCAAGACCAGCCTAACCAACATGGAGAGACCCCGTCTCTACTAAAAATACAAAATTAGCTGGGTGTGGTGGCGCATGCCTGTAATCCCAGCTTCTTGGGAGGCTGAGGCAGGAGAATTGCTTGAACCCAGGAGGTGAAGGTTGTGGTAAGCCAAGATCGTACCATTGTACTTCAGCCTGGGCAACAAGAGCAAAACTCCATCTCAAAAAACAAAAAAATTTCCACGCAAATATAAGTTATTGTTATAATGATTTATATATCTCAACTAATTGTTGAATGAATCCATGTTCATTAGAAAAACATAGAAAACGGCCGGGCGCGGTGGCTCACGCCTATAATCCTAGCACTTTGGGAGGCCGAGGCAGGTGGATCACGAGGTCAAGAGATCGAGACCATTCTGGTCAACGAGGTGAAACCCCGTCTCTACTAAAAACACAAAAATTAGCTGGGCATGGTGGCGCGTGCCTGTAATCCCAGCTACTCAGGAGGGTGAGGCAGGAGAACTGCTTGAACGCAGGAGGTGGAGGTTGCGGTGAGCTGAGATCGTGCCATTGCACTCCAGTCTGGGTAACAACAGCAAAACTCCGTCTCAATAAAAAAAAAGAAAAACATAGAAAACAAAGTTGGACAAAAAAATCAAAAAGCAACTACTATACAATCATGCAGTAAGAGTCTTTTGTACCTGTTTACAAATTGATTATTTTGGTGCTTTTTTTTTTTTTTTTTTTTGAGACAGAGTTTCTCTCTTGTTACCCAGGCTGGAGTGCAATGATGTGATCTTGGCTCACCACAACCCCCACCTCCTGGGTTCAGGCAATTCTCCTGCCTCAGCCTCCTGAGTAGCTGGGATTACAGGCACGTGCCACTATGCCCAGCCAATTTTTTGTATTTTTAGTAGAGATGGGGTTTCACCATGTTGACCAGGATGGTCTTGATCTCTTGACCTCATGATCCACCCGCCTCAGCCTCCCAAAGTGCTGGGATTACAGGCTTGAGCCACTGTGCCCGGCCGGTTATTTTGGTTTTTTAAAACATTTTTGGAGACAGGGTCTCGCTCTGTTGCCCAAGCTGGAGTGCAGTGGATGATCATGGTTCCCTGCAGCCTCAAACTCTCGGGTTCAAGTGATCCTACCACCTCAGCCTCCTAATAAGCTGGGACTACAGGTACATGCCACCATGCCTGGCCTTTTTTTTTTTTATAAACAGTGTTTTGCTATGTTGCCCAGACTGATCTCAAACTCCTGAGCTCGAGCAATGCTCCCATCTTGGCCTCCCAAAGGGCTTGGATTATAGGCATGAGCCACCTCATCCGGCCTACAAATTGGATATTTTCTAAGGCTCATCTCTTTGGTCAGGCCATCAGGAAATAAGCCAGACGCTACAACCAACCACTAAGGTTCTATGTGTCAGTTCCCTTAAATTCAGTAGAGAAAAATGGTGATTTATCCATGGAAAACCATGTTTTATTCTCGACACTTATCCCAAAGAGATAAGACCGCTACTCAGTATACCTGGTGGTAAGAAGAAGAAATAACTTCCTAGTTGCATTTTACCAGTCTGAAAATCTTACACCACAATTATAGAATTATGTAATTCAGTGCTCCCCAACCTTTTTTGCACGAGGGACCTGTTTCATGGAAGACAATTATTCCTTGGGAGGTGGGGCGGCGCAATGTTTCAGATTAAACTGTTCCACCTCAGATTATCAGGCATTAGTTAGATTCTTACAAGGAGAGTGCAACCTAGAACCTTCAATTTGCTCAGTTCACAACAGGGTCGTGCTCCTTGAGAATCAAATGCCACTGCTGATCTGCCAGGAGGCAGAGCTTAGGTCATAACGCTTGTTCACCCACTGCTCATCTCCTGCTGTCTGGCCCAGTTCTTAGCAGCCCTGTACCGTGGCCTGTACTGGTCCATGTTTTGGGACCCCTGATGCCATTCACTTACTTAGACCAGCAAATATCATAGCCAAAACTGATTGTCTATCTATACATACATGCACATAGTCTCATATATACAGAAGGTCATGATTTTAAAATATATTTTGGTGGGATTCTTCCTTTCTCTCAGAGAAAAGAAATGTACATTTAGAACTTATATAAAAGTAGGCCAAAGAACGGTTAATAATCAGCAAAAGATGAGTACGGTAGAATCTTTCCAAATAGCGGGCAGTGTCACTATTTGGAAGAGAAGCAAATTTGAATCCCCGGCTTTTTCTCATACTAAAATCATGCCATTACCTTTTTGTTTGCAGCCACACCATCCTCACAGTCAAGCACTGCGCAATCTACATGCAGGGATGGAATCTTCTTTATTTTCTTTTCATCATTTCCAGGTACATAGAGCACTGCCCTCCGGGGGACGTACTTGTGACTGGATGAGGAACTATATCCAAACCTGGGGATATCAGCTGCTAGAGATGCTCTCCTGCAAGACACATGAGTGGGGTTAGTCCAGAATGAGATTTCTGTATTTATAAACTTGTGAAAACTTTATTGTAAAATTAAAATAGATCCCATGGATCATCGTTTCTTTTTTTGAGAAAGGGTCTTGCTCTGTCCCCCAATTTGAAGTGTAGTGGTGTGATATCGGCTCACTACAACCTCTACTTCCAGGCTCAGGTGAAACCTGCACCTCAGCCTTCCCAGTACCTGGGACTACAGGTGTGCACCACCACGCCAGGCTAATTTTCGTATTTTTTGTAGAGACAAGATTTTGCCATGTTGCCCACGATGGTCTTGAACTCCTGGGCTCAAGGTATCTACTTGCTTTGGCCTCCTGAAGTGCTGGGACTATAGGCCTGAGCCACCATGCCCACTCGATAGTCTTTTAAAATGATGGCAGAATATAATCACATATGAAAACTAAGAAAACAAAAATAGCAAAAATAATCAATGAATGTTTTCTTGGCTGAGGTTTAAAAAATAGGTAGGACTGTTTACTGACATATTCTGAGAGGAAGAGGAGGGTGTACGTATTTCTTCTTGGAAAACACTTCCAGTATTGTTATACTCTCTAGATAGCATCCGTGGAGAAAAAGGGAAGAAAATGTCTATCCAAAAACAACAGTACTATCTACAATTATACATAAAAGTAAAAAGGTAGACAAAAAAAAAATACTAAAGAAGCATTAGTCTATGGCCCTTGCCTTACCAATACATCTTTTAAAGTAGTAAATCAGTGATTCACATTCAATCTTAACAACAGACAAGAGAGACTAGTTATTTTAAGTGAATAGAAAGGACAGTGAATGCCTCTGTAATTGTAGGCAACTTAATTACTGGTAACCAGATTCTTCATCTATAAAAATAATACTCATTTTGTAGGATGTTGAGAGGATTAAGTTAAAGGAAATAATGAACATGAAGCACTTAGCCAGAGCCTGGCGGATATTTTAGCTACTTGAAATGGTGGTGGGCGTAGCAGGAGTACCAGCAGCTGCTGTTGTTGTTAATAGAGAATCTCTAGCTGTCAGTAGCTCCTGCCTGCTTCTCAACTATGCTCTTTCTTTCCCTTGCCTATCATACCAAGTTCAGTCTCTGGTAGAAATAAAAGGTGTTGGCCAGAAGCTCCTTTGGCTTACCCCTGCCCTTGCCTGGTCCATAGTTTATCCTGTGAAAACCACACTTTAGCTCATACGATACAGTAAAGGAAGACGAAATCAGCTCCCATAATCAGAACCAGCTAGACAATTTGCAGGCCCCGATGAAAATGAAAATGCAGAGGTCTTTGTTTATAATTTATTAGAAATTTCACAATAGCAACAGAAGAATATTAAATCAAGCACTAGGCATGTCTTACTTTTTTTTTTTTTTGAGATGGAGTTTCGCTGTTGTTACCCAGACTGGAGTGCAATGGCGCAATCTTGGCTCACCGCAACCTCCACCTTCTGGGTTCAGGCAATTCTCCTGCCTCAGCCTCCCGAGTAGCTGGGATTACAGGCATGCGCCACCATACCCAGTTAATTTTTTGTATTTTTAGTAGAGACGGGGTTTCACCATGTTGACCAGGATGGTCTCGATCTCTTGACCTCGTGATCCACCCACCTCGTCCTCCCAAAGTGCTGGGATTACAGGTGTGAGCCACCACGCCCGGCCCACTAGGCATTTCTAAGAGCACAAATTATACATCCATGAAGCCAGCCCTGCCCACAATAGATGAAGTTCTACATCAAGACTGTTAATTCCAACAGTTTGGGAAGCTGAGGCAGGCAGATGACTTGAGTCCAGAGTTTGAGACCAGCCTGGGCAACATGGCAAAAATCTCACCTCTATCAGGAAAAAAAAAAACAAAAACTAAAAGTAAAAATTAGCCAGGCATAGTGCCATGTTCTTGTAGTCCCAGCTACTCGGGACCGATTGAGCCCAGGAGGTCAATGAGGCTGCAGTGAGCCCTGATCATACCACTGCACTCCAGCCTGGGCAACAGAGCAAGACCTTGTCTCAAAAAATAAAATAAAAAATAAAAAAGATTGCCAGTTAAGAAAAGTTAAAATCCTAGCAAACTGATGTTTTACTCTCATTAGATAAATGGCATGATCTTTTAAAAAATATGTCAGTGATAGTCTTTGTGAAAACTCTGGACATCAGTAGTTTTAACACTGCCAAATATTTTGCACAGTTGTAAGATTTCACTATAATTAGTGTGCTTGTGACTTAATGTAGCTCAAGAAAAATCACTGTCTTTCAGGGTCTTGCAAGTCTGTGTGGGGGCCCTCAATCCTTCTTGTAGCCCCTTAAGGAACTCTAAAACTTGAGTCTGTGTCTTATTTTGCCACATGTATCATGTGAAATATGGTAAGATAGAGATGGATTTTTAAAATGTACATGGCTTATGAAACATATTTAATATAAAACATATTACGGCCAGCTAATTGAAGAGTGCCTGAAATATCTGTCATTGTTTTTCATTGATTGAAAATATCTGGTTTATCTAAAAGCAGGGAGAAAACATAATGAAGTAACAGCAGCAACCACATTTTACTTATCATTCACACTGGAAACTAGAATGTGTAACATATACATTTCCATAAAAATACCAAGAAATGCTTGGAGCAAAATCTCTGCTCATGAGGATTTAATGTAACCACACATGTGAAAACCTAAGAGAGGGGAAGAGGATGGAGTACAAAGCACCAGCAATCTTCCCCACCCAGACAACAACTGCATTAGCAAAATCTTTCTCCTGTAACTATTTTGAAACTATTCTGGAATCTATTAAAGGCTTGCAACTTCTAGGGGAAGGCTTGGATATTAAATAGTGGTTAATTTTAGTCAACTTCAGCTCTTAGCAGAGTAGCAGCTACCCATCCTCCTCCTCTCAGTCATATAGTAGGCAGCTGTGCCCATGTTCCTAGAACAACCCGCATGTAGCTTGAGGGAGCCGGGGGGACAAAAACAAAGACCCTGACCATTCAAATATCAAGGATCTGTGCTCTGATCACTGATTGCCGGTTCTGATCACAGACATGCAGATAAAGAGGCTGAGAGCCATTGTTATTACACCTGCCTCCAATGTGGCAAGGCCCTCTCCACTTGGGCTAAAGTGACCTCCAGGTAATTTAAAGGCCAGCACCACCCCCATTAATTTTTTGCTTTTTTCCCTTTTCAAAGCCAGACATTAAAGACTACAACATTCAAAAACAAACATATATATAAGGAAAAATAGAAATGACCATGCATGCCCAGAGAAAGGCTCAGAAAAGACATGAGAAGGTAGGCATGGTGGCTCATACCTGAGATCCCAGCACTTTGGGAAGCTGAGGTAGGGCAGGTGGATCACCTGAGGTTGGAATTTGAGACCACCCTAACCAACATAGTGAAGCAACAGCTCTACTAAAAATACACAATTAACCGGGTGTGGTGGCCCATGCCTGTAATCCCAGCTACTTGGGTGGCTGAGACAAGAGAATTGCTTGAACCTGGGAGGTGGAGGTTGCAGTGAGCTGAGATCATGCCACTGCCTTCCAGCCTGGGCGACAGAGTGAGATTCTGTCTTAAAAAAAAAAGAGAGAGAGAGAGAGAGGCTGGGTGTGGTGGCTCACACCTGTAATCCCAGCACTTTAGGAGGCCAAGGGCGGATCATGGGGTCAGGAGTTCAAGACCAGCCGGAACAACATGGTGAAACCCAGTCTCTACTAAAAGTATAAAAATTAGCCGGGCATGGTGGCACATGCCTGCAATACCAGCTACTCAGGAGACTGAGGCAGTAGAATTGCTTGAACTCAGGAAGCAGAGGTTGCAGTGAGCTGAAATACAGCCATCTGCATTCCAGCATGGGTGACAGAGCGAGACTTTGTCTCAAAAAAAAAAAATGTAAAGAAAGAAAAAGAAAAGACTTGAGAAGACCTTACATTTATACCTCAGGCTTATCCTTAGCAAACTCACAGTATAGAACCATCGAATAAGTAAACAAAAACAGTGAGCCCAGCAGAGGCAGACAATCTGATTTCCAGACGCCACACTGTTGGATTCAAACATCTATTTCTTAACAACAACAAAAAAATCATGACATACAAAGAAAGAGGAAAATATGGCCCAGTCAAAGGAAGAAAAATAAGTCAACAGAAATGGTCCCTGAAAGAGACCTGGTGGCAAAGACTTTAAAAAACTATCTTAAAGATGCTCTAAGAACTAAAGGAAGATGTGAAGAACATCAAGATAATGATGTATGAACAAAATGGAAATATCAATAAACAGACAGAAAACTTACAAAGAGACCACAAATCCCAGAACTGAAAAGTACAATAACTGAAATGAAAAATTCACTAGAGGGATTCAGAGACAGATTTAGCAGGCAGAAGAAAGAATTAGCAAAGTTGAAGAGAGGACAATGGACATTATCAAGTCTGAGGAACAGAAAAAAGACTGAGAAGTGAACAGAGCCTAAAGGACTTGTGGGACACCACCAAGCAACACACGCACATACTGTGGGAATGCCAGAAGGATAAGGAGAGAGAAGAGGGTAGCAAGTGTATTTTGAACAGAAAATGGCTGAAAACTCTCCAAATTTGGTGAAAGACTTAAATATAGGAAGCCACGGTGGCTCCGGCCAGTTGTCCTGGCGCTTGAGGAGGCGAGGCCATGAGTTCAAGGCCAACCTGAGCAACGTTACATGCTCTCATTGATTGACAAAAAAAAAAAAAAAAAAAAAAGACTTAAATATAAACATCCAAGAAGTTAAATGAACTCCAAATAAGATGAACTCAAGGACACCCACACCTAGACACACTAAAATCAAACTTTCAAGAACTCAAAAACACCCATACCTAGGCAGATTAAAGTCGAACTTTCAAAAGTGAAAGACTTTCAGTTCTGAAATGGTAGCAAAGAAGTAAGCTGGCTTCAGTACCCACCCCTCCCCAACAGAAAAATGAAAACAAATATACAACAGTGCTGGAATTATCACCAGAAGTATCTTAGAACTCA